ACTGGTTCTACCCGATGTCTGGGCTGTTCATATCCCCCATAGGAGTACACCGGATACTCAGAAATTCTTACAGGATCCATTCAGGAGGTTGGAGAACAGAAATACCAGATTTGAATTTGTGGCAGATATCATGAATAAATATAACATTGGACCTTGCCATCAGAGGTAGCAGTAGGTTACCACAGACCGCGAATTGTAGGTTGTCCAAAGGTTATATACGGTCCAATAACTACGGATTGTGGTAACAGTGGTTCAAAAACAAATCAGCTGATTTTTTAGAATATTTCAACAAAATTGAGCAAATACCCAGAACTAGAGAATCGCCACACTTGCGCTCGGCTTTCACATAAAATATAATACAGTGGCGTCAACAAAATTAGCGTAAATAGTGCCCAATCATTTATTGGTATTTGATGGTATTTCAGCAATACTTCCACTATCAACACTCCGCCATTACACTATGCTGTACTGGGGAAATATTAATATGATATATATATATATATATAAATAATCCACTATATTTTTTCTTAGGTTAACATCAACATGCACTCTTCATTACCGCCTTCGGCTAAGATTGATACAAAACTAGTAATCACTCTTTATGCTGATGTCAATCTAAGAAAATATAGTTGGATTATATAGACATATCTAGTATGTACTGTATATTTTATAAATACATATTTATTTATTCAATAAACGATATTTTCAAATTTGCAGTATTACTCATATTTTCTCACACAATGTTAGGAACACTATACTATCCTTTGTAACATTTGATTGCATGGATGAATTATTAACTTAATTAACCTAGTTCAGATTATCTAATGACTACTGAAGCCTGAAACCTAGCAGGTTTTTGGCCGAGAGCTGAATACTTCTAAATCATTTAGGAAAAATGGAGCAAAATGCTCCTTAAACTGGGAATTTTAAAAATCAATATCATTTCAAACAAATGAAATGCCTTATGCACCCCACTCCCATAGAATGTCGATCTCATGAATGATCCTACAATATCATATTTTGTAAATAATTGTAATTTTCACTTTTGCGAACATTGGTGAACAAATGAACATTAATATTCAAGAACAATCTCCAATTAAATAGTGAAATTATTAATTTTATTTTGACTCTCACTCACAAACACAGCTTTATTGATTGATCAGATTCATACATGAAGATTGTTTTGGTATGAAGACTGCAATACGCGCTCATGAATTATTTACGAAATGTAAATACTGAATGCAGATGTTTACAAATTTACCAACCAAGTGTTTTCTGGTGCACATGCTGAGAGGTTGTTAGGACTCCTACTCGATACTCAAAATAACAGTTGTATTGCCCATATTATTAACAATAACAGGATAATCTGTTTTTCATTTCCATTTTTTGCCATTTGCCACTTCAAGCACATCCTGGAGTTTTGAATTTGTATAAATTAGGGAGATGGTGATTGGCCACGTTTCTATAAATTTGACAACATTTTGTAAAAATTCAAATAGCCTGAGGGCGACTCAACATTGCCCAAAAATACAAATGTGTATGTACGAATTATGTACATTACTAAAGTGTCAAATTATAGAAGGTAAGTAGCAATATATTAACAATCAAAGCGGAGTGGCGAAGTCCTGTCCTGGTATCACTGGAAATTTGCATATCAAAAGAAGTTAGTTGTTTAACCCAAGGTTGACCTTACACAGTCTCTGTGCACCGTGCACAGTCTCTGTGATCTGTGTAAAATGAAACGTTTTGCCGACTTTGCATCAATACAGTGTATATAATTCATAAATCTCGTTCACGTTAAGATTGTTAGGTAGGGAGATGACAATGGACGTGTTGAGGATTTCCACTGTTTATGTGAGAGGTAAGGAGACTGCACCTACCACCTATTCTCGGGACGGACATCCGGCATTTTCAGTGTATGCCAACCATCACGGTCACGGTGAAAACATAGGCCGAAAAATCTCAGAAAACGGTACTTTGGGATGGTTGTTGAGACTCCCCTGAACAGTGTATCAAGATTACGCCTGATTGTGTAACTCATATAAATTTGATTGTTCAGGATTACTTCAAAGTTGAATTCGGCGTTTCGCGTTCCTCAGCAGCGCAAGCAGAGCCCGTACATGGTACATTGGTGCGCGTCATAGCAACGTGAAACGTCTTTCGACGTAGCTTTGCCCCCAGGATATATACCTGAGCCAATGTGCTGTGTCGTTCTTGGTAGAGTAAATAAAGGCTAACCCATTTAAAATTGGGGGGATAGAGGATTTTGTTGAAAAAAAAAATGATGTGATGAGAAAAAAAAATAACATTCCACAGGCTATGCAATGGGGGAAAAATAATTCTCTGTCAATTTCTTTGAAGTCCAGGGTATTATAATTTAAATAAGGGACTCCCTCATTAATTGTGAAAGCAGGGATTGGGTGGGGTAGTCTGCATAAATCAATGGGATGAACTACTTTTCACTCATTATTGACCCCATGCCCATCCTTGCCATATTAAGACGCAATAATGGGCAGTGCGGCATCCTTTATTCACTGAATAGCTCAGTCCAAACACTAAACAATTTTTCTCTCATTGAATATATGTATTTATTTTATCAACTAACATACTCCGCAATGATGAAAATAGATAAAAAGGTACACATATAAAAAAACAGGAGTAATACAATGTAAAATCTACAGATAACAATACAATTATGAATTCAAGACAAGAAATTGAAAAATTGAAAAGATTATGATTGATGTTATGAGATTGACATGTACATGTATGTACATGCTTAAGATAAAATTGACTTAGTCAGTACGGTTAATTTAAAAATAATTGTAGATTTTATCATGAAATATTTCTCATACGTGTATTGTCATATATACATTGCAATATCACAGTAGATTTGATTTATTTAGTGGTTATAACCTAACTAAGATTCTCATTTGTGTTGTCACGTGTTCTAAATAGATCTTTATAAAAACATTAACTTTCATTAACGCCTCACAGTCATCACATCACATTGTATTCAACTTGGTTCCCATGTAAAGTATACATGGACTGCGTTAAAATACTTTTTGTTCGATACCATTGCCAAACAATTTAAAAAAAAAAAAAAAAAAAATAAAAAAAAAAATACTTTCTATTGGTCTATCACCCAAATTCCAGATTCTGAAGATAGTTAAACCAAAGTATATTGAAATTGTGGAAAGTTACTCAAAAAATGTACATTTTCAAGATCTTAATATATTGTTATTATACTTTCTGGTTGGTTAGTTACCGTGCAAGCCACATAGATTTTGGATATTTTACTATTTCAAGTTCAGTTTTGTACATGTACTAAACATGTCATACAGTCACCCAGTTTATCTTTTGAAATTGTTGAAATGATTGACGAATATAGAAAACAAATATTTTATTCACTTACTTTCTCATTTTCTGACTTTTGAATGCTTTCAACAATGTAGTAGCCATGGAAATAAAAAAATAAAAACTTTTCTCCTCATTCTCCTCAAAAAAGATGCAATTTCATAATTCATAATTCTTCAATTACTACAAGTTTTTTCAACTAAAATTATGTGTGAATATTAATGAGATAATTAACATATTAATTGAATTGTTTTCTGCTTGTTTATTCTTTACCATATCAATAGTTTTCTCAGTTGATTTTGTACACGTGAAGACAAATAACTACAATACTGCATACAAATTAATTAGCTGATTTGCATACTAATAATTTTATCTTTTTTTATTCTGTATTAATATGTACTGTACCTATGCTAGTTTTGAATGGATCAATTTCTAAAGTTAATAATTAATTATTAAATTCTATTATGTATTGTTATATTTATTTGTTTATATTTTATTTTGTTATATTTTTTAAATTTTTTTTGCAATTTAAGTTTAATTTAAAAAAATATATGATCACTTAATTTCACTGTAATCTCCATTTGCAATGTATGATTTGTTGCCTGCCCCTGTTTTTATTTACCCTTGAAATGTATCCCTTGTGAAGCTACTTCACTCTACAAATACTTTGATGCAATCACTGTTGTTGTCCACTACAGCTATTCTACCATCAAGGCTCACTGCTACACCACAGGGATCACTCAGTCTATCTTTCTCACTATCAATCCTACAAATAAACTGACCATAGCCGTCATGCTTAGTGACTTTATGATCACTACTCACATATACATAATCTTTCTTATCTATGGCCACTGCTTTTGGATAACTCAGTGTACTGTCACCTGTTGAAGAGAATTCAAACATATACTGGTCATCAGAATTGAATACCTGGATACGGTGGTTGAAATGATCTGGCACATACACCAACCCTTTACTGTTAGTAGCTAACATGTAAGGCCCATTGAACTCTCTCTGCTCTCTCCCACTCTTTCCATATGAATTTATATACACGCCACCCTGGGTATACTCTCTAATACAATCAATCTCATACTCACTCACATACACATTCTTATTAACAGGATTAATTGCAATTCCACACGGATTATCAATTTCAGAGCTACCAAACTTTCTAATCATCTTTCCATTTTCATCACTCACAACTACTTGTTTGTTACTATCATCTAACATATAGTATTCATTATCATCTGATATTGCTACATCACATGGACTGAATCGCTTTGCAAACTGATCAGTAAATCTGAATGATTGTTTGTAATTTCCGTCTCTGTCATGAATGGTCACTCTGTGTTTCCCTGTGTCAGCTGTGACAAAGTCACCATGTTTATTATTCGATAGTCCCCAAGGATATCCAAACTTTCCATCAGTTGCTACTTTTCCCACTGTCTGTACCCACCCTCTGGTTGGAACAGAAATATTGAAAGGCGATCCTGGAATATGTTGGTTCCCAATCGTTATGGCAACTTGATGTGTTTCTACCATTTTTTCTACTATCATCACTTGAAAAGTCCCATTGTAATTGTCCGTAACATCAATGTCTTCCCATGATGCATCAGGATTTATTGACTTCACTGTGAGATCTTGACGAGGAATGACTTGTTTTCCTCTGGAATCTCTGGTCGTGATGAGCAGCTTGACAGATTCACCTTTCAGGAGTTGTTTCGGAATGTTTTCAACTGTACATTTGGATGGACAGACGTCTGATTTGATCACCCCCATCAATGCGTGTGCAGCAAGGTCACTTCCTGGATGGAACTCAGCGATATTATTACTGATTGGTGGTTTGGTTTCCATAGTAATCATCTTTTGTATGTGCTTCATAGTTTCAGTTCTTGTAGATAGTAGATGAACAGAATTCCCATGATGCT